CCCCAAAACCCCAAAACCCCAAAACCCCAAATTTCTTGGCTATAATTGAATTATAACCTTCTTTATTAAGCAAGCATTGGCTCTTGGTTCCTGGTTGAGAGAATCTGTGTTACCTTTCTTTCATGCTCTTGGGAAAGAGTCGTTACTTTCATTTTGAAGTTCAAGTCAATTGAGTATGCATCGAAGCAGTTTTTGAGTACTTCTACTGCAGGCAGATTACCTATTTTGAGTAAATTGATAAGAGAGTTAAGCGAACTTACTTTTTATTCCAAATTCTTTAAACACATTCTCTCTCACTTGAACGCCATCGATGGAGTTTAATATCTGGTCTCTGTCCTTGGTGGTCATTACTGTATTACCTTCAGCATAGAACTTTTCCTTTCTGAGTTTAACCTCATGACGGAGATCGCAGAGGATTTTAGATAAGAGCTCATAATAAAGCTCTTTTGGGATTTTATTAGTTACTTTTGTATTGTCTGTATTGACTTCTACAAGGCTTTTATCAAGGTAAACTTGGAATTCACCTTGAAGTACTTTTATTTTAGACTCTTTCATCCAAGTTTTTAGTTCCTCGATTTCTTCGAGCTCTACTGTATCGAGCAAGAATGTCAAAGTAGCTGTGTTTATTTCATATTTTTCAATTATTTTTTCTTCTACATTAGCTTCTTTCAAGTCCAGTCTTGAAACAACTTCTTTGATGGTTTCTTTGACTAAATCACTATCTTCTCCATAAAGGGCTATAGAGGGATTCAGTAATCCAAGATTTACTTATAGATTTGGAAATTAAGTTTGAGTAATGTTGGTACATAACTCCATATTCTAGATCTGGTGATTCTATGAAATACCTCTTTTGAGCTCCTATATAGGTATGAACCAGCTTTTATTACCATGAGAATGAGCTTAGTAAACTTCTCGATAGCTTCTTCTGTATGGTATCCTATCTGGCTCTCATTTTCCTCTGCTTCAATCTCTATTTTCGTTGTTTTTCCTAAAAGGATAATTTAAAGAAATACTAATCGACTCCAAAATCTCCTCATCAGAATACACATTCTTCCCTCTTTTCCTCCCCGAGTACAACTCTGAGATCGCTTTATGCACAAATACAACTCCAATCCCCACAGCCAAGATCCCCGAAATGATCTTCCCAGTTTTTTGCATATTTTCAATAATTCTTACTTATCTCGGGGTTTTGGGGTTTTGGGGTTTTGGGGTTTTGGGG